TTTAAATTAAGTTCAATTCATTGTTTAAAATTTTATCGAAACTTTATTTTAAAAAAATAATAAAATAATCGTTAAAAATAGTCATTTAAGAAAACCAGATCCATTTCTAAGCAGTAGTTCCTATTTATGTTATTTAAAATTTAATTTCAGAACGATTTTTCTCTTGTAAATAATACACGAAACAATTCAAGAAATTCATTCCGAGAAACCATACAAGAAACATGGTCTTTTTGCGCAATACTTAAAGTAACTTTTAGTCTATAAACGTGTTTCATGTTGCATAATATTATCAGGATGTGTTTATATGGTAGCAAAATAAATATTCTCCATCATAATTCATTCGTAAATAAACAAACATCTTTCGCCAACACAGTAAAACGACGCCACTTAAAGCTGAAACTATAATCTATCTGTCTGCTTTCAATAGGTATTTATTAATTATTACATCGTTTGTGTGCAGATATTATTTAATTAAATAAGTAATCTCGATTTCTTCGCAAATTCGTTTATCCCATTGTAAGATGATGCCCTAATTATCGACATCAGCAATATCATTCTGTTGACGAAAATGTGTTTATCGTAAGGAACAATTTTCCATTTGCAAAATTATAACTAATTGCTATGTTTACCACGATTTTAAGTTCATTCGCACCTTCACCGTTGTATTTGCGAACGTTTAAGATAAACACTGTAATAGACGAAATAGGTCGTTTGTTAGCTAATTATTACTTTTTTTAGTATTTCAACGCTAAGGATTCGATTTTAATTGAGTTTTGCAAACTTATAATAGCATTAATCTCTCTATTACATGCTTAATTATGTTAAGTGTTAGATTTTACGCTTGGTGCAATCGCGCTTCGACTGATAGACGAGTCGAATTTCCTTCGAATGAATGGAATCTTTAGTAAGTTATGAGGTTACTCTTATAAAGATATTTTAAAATTTCTGTGAGGCTCGAGATATCTAAAATAATAACGATCTCAGGTGAACGGAAATCTGAGTATGTCATAAATGTATCTCAGAAACATGATAGATGGAATTTCTTTATGCTTTATGCTTTAAGAATTATTTAACTTCGATTAAAATCTTACAATATATTACGCTAAACAGCCGTAATAGAATAGACTTGGATACTTCTTTCTAACGTAAACATTTATGAAATCAGATAGTTATAATTATCAATTATCTTAATTAAATGGACACGCCTATCGCAAAAGGTCATAAGTAGAACCCTGAATGCTCAGCAAAGATTTACATTAACCATAAATTTTGTTATATCTTACCCATATTTTATAAGGAATGTTGTTAAGATTTTTTCTTTATCATGACTGGCTCTACTTTTCTTCAAATTATTATAATCCAATATGATTTATGAGGTGGAATATTTCAATAATTTGTTCATTAACCATAAAAATGTATTTCTATTGAGAAAAAATATAAAGAATCTAGATCGCCTTTGTGATCTTCGTTCAAAATACGGAAGATTAAGGAGACACAAAATATAGATTTCTGAGAATAATAATGATAATCATATAGTAGTAAATCATTAATGGTTACAGTCTAGTTATGTATAATCTGGTCTGGTTTGGTGAAAAGCAGGTATCTGTATGATATTAGATTTAGTTATGCCAATGACAAAAATGACACGTCTGCTATCCTAATCATTTCTGACGACCTTCTAACTCAAACTAAATGATCTTAAGAGGTTAATGATCTAGTTCTGTATATGAACTCTACTCTTGAAAAACGTTTTTTCGCGTGCGCGCGCCATGGGACGAACCCTATGTCTAGAGAGGTTTATTGACCCTCCTTTACCACTCTAGAAAGGCGGGAAAGGAGGTAGCACTAGAAATCACTGACCCAAATACCCACCCTCTTCGGCAAGTGGGAGATACTGAAGATAAAACAAACCATCTTTAGATCAGCCAAATTATCTGTGAATCCGGTAAAGTACGCTAAGGAAAACGAAAGACTACTTAACTGCTTTCTGCTAATGCCTTTTATGGAAATAATTAATATTGTTTCAGTTTTCCTCCTATTTTATAGGTCTTCCTTGAAAATAATGATTTTCAAATTCTTTAGACAATTCGTGTTTCAATAATGATTATGTGAATAAAGAAAACTTCAATTTTATTTTGCAATGTTGAAGCAAAACTTTGATATTAAAACAAATTTTGGTAATATTTTTGGAAAGATAGCACTGATGGATGGAACTCTTTTTGGTTAGAGCAAAGAAAAAGTTTTCTTGAATCATGATGCACTTCATCCATCTCCAGATGTGATCTGCATTCGTATTCTCCTTTTCCTATAGGATAAGCAGTAGGGGGAATTCCCGAGCGAAACTTGCTCGGCTTTCTTTTGCACTGATTTCTAAGGGCTGGACACGTGATCTATGGTATCAGGTGACACTATAACATTGTAAGAAGCATTCCCAATTGGATGAAAGAGTTTACGCATTGACTTGAACAAAATATAAAATAAAGAAGCGCTCAGGTATTCGAATAAATTAAATATTTAATATTGCTCTGATTGATCTATTTTAAATCGTTATCCCCATAACTTTTCATATTATAACAATATTTATGCAAAATTGACATTTGATCTTCGATATCAAGTTTGGATTTCTGAGTTTGGTTATAGTTTGTTTAGTCTAATAGTCTGCTGAGTTACTTCTACAAATTGTTAATCTATGCGATAGTCATTTCTGAAGTACAATTTAACTATTAATTCCACTGTTAATTTTTAAAGAAAACATTAAACTGCATTTAAAATGTATTTTATGCATACTTTTTATTGTAAGATAGAAAAATTAGAATGTAACATTGTTATAAATTATTTGTTTCCTACTAAATAACGTACTCAACCTCCATGTGTTAGTTTAATATCCGTGTTTACAACTGGGAAGTTTTCTTTTGTTTTAGCGCCAGGGCTTTACTGGAAATCTGCCATACGATGGCTTTTTTTAGTGAGTTAAACTAGGAAAGAGAAAGAATACGGTTTTCGAATTCTCGAAAAATTTATTGTACAATTATTATTTATAAATAAAGGTGTTGTATTGGTTAATAGAGGTATGGATTTTTCAAATATAAGTATGAGTATTCCATTTCTGTAGTTCGGTTATTTACAATATATACTTATACACGATTCGAATGTATAATTGGTACAGAAAAAAGTTTAAAAAAGTAATATCATATTTCTATTTATTAAATATCATTCGTGCGTTAGCAATAAAAATTGTCTTTAACAAGAAAGACGAGTCAAAAAGGTAGTTTTGTAAACAAGTAGAATACATATCAGCGACCTCTAAATTGCTTAAGAATCTTTCTTGATAATTTCTTATCTGTAGGAATGAGAATCTTCAAATGGGAAGAAGATACGGGAGTTTACAATGCATCTATTTTTGCTTAAGTAGTGAAATTTAAGCATGAAAATATACATAAGATGAATTTCCGGTCAAAATGTTATTCCTGATTAAAATATTAAATATATATGCTTAACCTTTTCTGCAGACAAGACAACCTTACTCCAGATTTTGTATTTAGTATTCGTCGTGCGATCAAGATTAATTCCCAACCGAAATAAATTTATTTGCTAGCAAGAAAAAGGCATAAAAAATGGTATCTTGTTGCCAAACAAATCTGATTCGAAACGTTTCAACTATAAATCAAGACAGAATTACGCAGTTCGATAGAGCAGTTCCATTCTATAAAAAAGTTACTAATTCAAGTTCATGAAACACGACCAAATGCGCAATTTTGTCATACAAACCGTTTGACCTCGTCCCTATAGAAGGTTAACGCTTCACTGTTGCCCTCTTATGGTAGGAATGCGAATTACGCTACTGCTGTCCCGGTTGGGAAAAATAGAAAACGTTAATGCTAAACATAGAATCAGCTGGACTTGAAACTTCTGCATACGTACCCGTTCATTACAACAATTCTGGCAAACCTTTGCTGTCTTGGTTAGTAAACGCTTGAAACCTGCCAATTCAAACTATTCGAAGGATTTGACGGTATTTTTTTTAAATCTAATGACTCAATATAGAATAGAGAAGTGAATACCACCGTTTGATAATATTCCTTGTTCCTTATTAGCGTTCCAAATACCGAAAATTTCCAATTGATGCTATTATTCTACTTTTTCGTAATTTATTTTTGAATTTCGAAGCGTGTAGAAATTGAGTTAAAAGAATTATGTTAATTCAAACAAGAAAAGGCAAAATTTTTGTCTTTCAGATGTGTTAATATAGTTTTATATAATAATACAACTATAGCGCTATTTAGTTTTCGTTTCATTTGATTTATATCCTAACTGGGCATTAATCCCGAATCGCGTGTTTTAACTTGGCGAAGAATAAAAAACCGAATCTTGTGGGAGTTAGAATAGCAAATGGAATGTAGCAGGTGTCTTTCCTCTCACACTATTATCCACCCGGATGACGTCACACGCACGCTATTTCATCATTAATCGGTAAATTCTTCAGTTATGATTCTGCTCTGCTCACTTTGATTTCATTATAGATGCCTCATTATTTATTTATTGCAGATATTATATAAATTAATTTATAAAATGTATTTAAATTTCATGTAAGTAATACTTTCCTCGTGTATATTGTTTAATCTACTGCCAATATTTTCAATGTCAGTTTAGCGGTAATGTAAAAAGTTGTCTTATCTCGAACATTTCAGTTGACCTATTCGAGTTTTGTATGCTTGACTTTTAAAGTGTTTTCGTTGACCCTCATTTTTTTAAGGTTAAAGGTCATTGGTATATTATAAATGTAGTTTTTATTGAGCTTCATTGATCAAAAGGAATTCAATACTTGACTGTCTTAATATACTCTGTAAAAGAGCAATGAATGATCTAGACGACGTAGTATTCCAGACGCCAACTTGACATCTGGCCAAATGAATTGAAAGTTCCTTGAAATTCTCTCTAGAGTTAAGATATATTTTTATTCAGAATATTGATGATAATTTTCGCTTCTTTTTTCTTTGCAGAATTCGATCCGGCATAATTTATCTCTTCATAGCCGATTTATGAGAGTACAAAACGAAGGGACTGGAAAGAGTTCTTGGTGGCTTATCAATCCCGAAGCGAAACCTGGAAAAGCGGCGAGAAGGCGTGCCACCAGCATGGAAACACAAAAGTACGAAAAGAAACGTGGACGGGTTAAAAAGAAGGTTGAAGCTCTTCGAAATGGATTGGATGCCACTCCGAGTCCGAGTTCTTCAGTATCAGAGGGTTTAGATATGTTTCCTGAATCTCCCATTCATCATAATTTCCAGTTGAGTCCCGACTTCCGACCTAGAGCTTCATCCAATGCTAGTTCTTGTGGACGTCTCTCGCCCATCCCGGCTGTAGAAACTGATATGCACGACAGCCAAGTACCTCCATTATCACCAATTAATTGGAATTCTGATTGTAATAATACTGGGTCTGTCTACGGACCAGCGGGTGCCATGGATCATTACGGTACAGAACAATTGGTAAACAGTCTGGAAGAAAGTATGAAAATAGGCACAACTAGTGATCCGACTTTTATACCTCCAGACTGTGGGCAGATCAAAACTAGTCCTACTGGTCAATTATCCCCTGTAGTACCTCAACCCATTGTCGGTACCGGTTACAGCAACATGGTGCCATTTGGATCTCATTATAGGAATAATGGAAATGGACAAGAATACAGGTCATTTCAATCTTCTGCCACAGATAGTGCCACGCTTTCAACATTGGGCACAACGCCTCTTCGAAGGCAACAAAGTTCCCCCCAGCCACTTTTAGACAATTCATATACCTTGACAAATCTTCAAGGTGCCAACTCTCCAAATCATAATCTGGAATTAACTAGTGCCTATAATCGACCTCCCCAGGCAAGACCTTTACCGTCTTCATTTACTTCTCTTCAACAAAGAGCTTGTTTAGAATCACAAACTGCGGGAACAATAATGAGGCAGCAAAGTTTGAACCATAAAGAAGCGCAGAATATAGGAAATCAGTCAAACGCATCCTTATCTACATCTCTCAGCAGTACAGCTAATCAAGTGATGGGTCATCTTTTATCGCTCAATAACCCATTGCCCAATGACCTGGATTTGAACTTTGATAATTTGCAAGATCTAGACTGTGACGTGGACCAAGTTATACATCACGAACTAAGTGTTGATGGAACTTTGGATTTCAATTTCGATCCCATGAACTCATCCATGCCACCCACAACTTTAACAGCATCAAACCGTCCTTGGGTTCATTAGATTACATAATTTAGATCCATCTTTAATTTTTCTCCGTGTTTCAAATTACTCTCTTGTTATTCATGTGTGCCACTATGCGATTCGTTTTCGCATTATCCACTTCATAATGAGCCAATTTGGCTTTATGATTGTGGTGTTCCATCAAATCGAAATAATCTAGATCACAAGTTTCATTATTGGTGTAAATATATCGAAGAAACTTGAAATTAAATGCTCTCGAAGATCTCTAAAGACGTTTATTCACTTGTTACATAAGAATAGCATCATCATTAAAGACGATGCTCGCCTTCATCAGCACACCCAAAATTAATTATTATATAAAGAAATATATAAATATATATAATAAGATATATATATCTATATAACAACTATATTAGTATATATAAACTGGGTTGCCATATTTTACATGATTCACCAAAAACTTCCTTTATTCGTCATTTAAAATACAATGAGCTCATCATGAATCAGTTAAGACACTGTAATTTGTCACGTGCTTCAATAATGTCACGTGGTGTTGTGATTCAAGAAAAACTGTTGTTCGTGTTCGATATTACATTGTTGTTTTCCGAGAAAGAATATTGCTTGTAATTTGATTTTTGTGCCTACATTCTGAAAAAGATACATACGCCTCTGATCTATCTATCATAAAGAATACTAAAAAACGCGCGAGAGTCATGAATGCGTTGGTTTATTGCCTTTATGAGTTAAAGAAAGAGTTGTAATTTGAAATAGTTTCTGTACTGCCCTGTTGGTATTCGTAAAGGTTTGCTAGTAGGCCTAGTTAAGTTCTTGGAGAGAAAGCTTAATCACATGACATTTAGATAATCTTCTGATTAGTTTTGGGTAAGATAAGTTAAATATGTTATTGGCACGGATTGATAAATGTTCCGATGAAATTATCGATACATGTGATTCCTATTGGCAGTGATATTATGTGGTGATGTTTTTGCAAATCAAATTTTGTCACGGGAAAGATTTTAAATAGATTTTTAAGAAATATATAATAAAATCATATGTGTATACATATATATACATGTAAATATATATATATGTATGTATGTATAAATATCAAAATAATGGATAAGTGATCTTGCCATCAGGGATTTAGAATAGAAAATAGTGTTTAATAATGTAGTGAGAGATTTATATCAACGTATATTAAAAAAGTACCTGTGATGATGGAGAGTTTTTCTGTGTTAAAACTCGAAGAGGAAACCTATATTGCTAAGCACGTTTTTGTAGAAAGAGAAAGAACGGGGATTCGCTTTGCTTTCTGTCTTTCTTTATAGAAATTCTCCTGTTATATTGGGATTATATTCCGTGACCTGACAACAGAAATACACATGTAAAAAAGTTTCGATAAAAATACAGTACCTGCTAAGCCCACATTGTCTTGATCAGACTATGTTGTGCACACTAAGTGTCAAAAATGAAATAAATTACAGAATCGATTTTTTGACGTGAATTGTTTGTCTGTTTCATTCTTTCTTACATTTCAAAATGTTAAATAATATTTTAAATATCAATATTCAAGAATATTAGAGCGAAGTACACACTCTTATGGAATAAATTTGAACTGGATCAAAATATTTTTTATATCAAATACGTCGAATTATATTTATAATCGAATATTAAATTAGAACAAAAAATAAAAATCAAATAAAATATTGGCATCTATTAATTAATTGATTTATTTATTGTTTTTAAAAAATTCTGTTTAATGTTTATAAATAATAATAGAGAATTTTACCGTTATCGTATTATTACAAGAAAAGTATTCTTTTAAACAGTGAATATGCTGCAGATCTTTAATCTGATATTCAAATAAATCTATGTCTTTATTATAAGTCTCTTAGTCCATTGATTTTTTTAATTTATGCCGTAATACATTTTATCTACATAGTTTATCATCTTAATTGTTCGTAATAAAATTTATTAATCTAGTCAATCACATTAAATGAATTTTTTTAATTCTGGCATCTTTATTACCATATCAATTTATTATAACTGGATTTCGAGTAAAGCATTCGTTAATGTAAAACGTTTTACTTTCATTAGTTAATAACGTATGAATTTAATATTTGAATTTAGAAGATACAAGTATTATTCAGCATGCACATTTTCTTGATATTTTGGTGTCAAATCTCTATTTTTATAAGCTATTATTTTTCATTTCTGAATTTTAATCTGTCAACAGTAATTTTTTAAGCTGAAAGCTTGAATCGAAGTAAAATATAAAAAAATAAATATATTATGTAGTCCTAATATTAAATTTTCTATTCTTCTCTGTCTTTCATGCAAAGATAAGTGATAACTATCTGAAATAAAAATCTGGAAATAATAAAAAAAATTATTAATAAATATCTCTAAACCGTTAAAAGAACTTAAAATTATGGAAAAAATTTGGATTTTTATGAATTTTTAAATTAATTTCGAAGAATTTTGTCTTCATTTATCTAAAATTCAATTTTCTAATAGTTCAATCTTCATTTTATTTATTTTTACTCTAATATCTTAGAGGCGGCCATCTGTTCCCTCACCAGTTTCTTAGGATTAGTAGGTCAGTCTTCTTCAATAGCTTTTTGGCTTTGACCCCCTATCTTTTTTTTCCATCTGCTTAACTGCCAGCAACAGTTAAGCCATCTTTCTTATCAATGAATGTAAGATGTCAATCCTTCAAAAAAAAAGATAAATTTTTCTACTTCTTGACACCATAGTTATTATATTATTTTAAAATAAATCTCTGAGATAACCTTGTTATAAATAGAAAAGTTTAATTAAGTAGAATAACTACTGAATTAATAAAACTTCAAGAGATAACATCGATAATGAAATTTTAGAAAGTATTAGAAAGAAACTTACTATAAAACATTCTAAAAGTATTTAATATTGAGAAACTTAAATCGTATTTTTGCTTTTATATTAAGATGATAACGTTAATTAGGTCTAAAAAATCCTTACTACAACAAAACAAATCCAGGAAGAGATATTTTAGAGCGGATGGATGTACAAAAATAATCAGTTAACAATAAATATCATGAGCTTAAAATTAATAAACAGGAGTTAAATAAAAAATGTTATTTCAAAAATATTGTTTTTGATTAAATTATGAATTAAAATTACTAATTATGTAAATAGTTTTAATACAAGAAAATAAGACGTAAAATTTTGATAAAAATCCAAGCAATAAAGACAAAAATAGTGGATTTTTGTTGCTGAAAATTGTGATGAGCTCTTCTACAAAGTTATAAATATTCTTCATTTGGAATTTTACAATTATAATTGAAAAAAAAAAAAAGAAAAGAAAATGTTTACTATAATAATGAAAGAGTCCTAAAAAAATAAGAAATTTTAACATACACATAATTTAATTTCCATATAATTAATTAAAAAATATAACAATTGACATTGAAGAATAAATTACTTTTGCTTTTTTTCTTCGCATTAAATAAGTAGTTAACAAAATAACATTAATCGTATAACACAGCTTCCCAACCTTTTTCATGTATCCATCCCTTTTAAGAAAAAATTTTTTGTAACGACTCACTTCAATATTATATATATATTGTAATTATGTAACAGGGCTGTTGCCTTTCTACATAATTTTAAAAGGCATCTTTCTGAATTTATTTGAGAGCAAAAAAAAAAAAAATATGTAAAATTTTAATATTTTTTAAATACATTTTTTCGTTTTCAAAGTTTTAGCGACCCCTCTAAAACGTTCATAGACCTTAAGGGGTCAATACCGGACCATTCGGGAATCTCCAGGAAGCTTATTCTAATTCTTATATTCGAAACATACTAATTGATTTTAATTTCGAAAATTGTATTGTTTAAATATTAATAAACATTTGATACTGGTTCAATATATAGTGGGTGATCGGTTAACGAACATAATCCGTTCCAAGACTTTGTTTGTTAACCGATCACCCACTGTACTTATAAAAGTTAAGGCTAAAAATTTTTCTTACCGTTATTTTCATTATAAATTAAAATTAAATGTTTAAAAATATTAACTGATAATCGAAAATCTAATTTTCTCAATCTATCAACTAGATATTTTTTCTTTATTATGACGTAAAGAATTTAGTATCCTTAAATACACGGGCGGATCTACATAGGGACTAATAGGGCTTAAGCCTTGGGCTCCCAAGTGTCAAGGGCTCACAAAAATTGAATTATCATCATAAATTTTTAATACTTTTTCATTAACAATAAGCATTTATCGTATAGTAAAAATAGTTAATATTTATAATATAATAATGATAATTTATAGTATTATGTTTTATTGTAATCGATGTAACGTAATTGGTCAGTAATTAATCAATGTAAATATTTATTTCTTATGTTTTTTTATATAAGATATAAAGTTCGTCATTCAACACCATTTCATAAATAAATATATTTCAACTCTGATTTTGATGTTATTAAAAATGAATTTTAAACCCCAATTTAAAGATTCTTAATCTAACAAAAAATGGGACCCCATTGGATTTCAATAAGCACTAGGCCCAGAAAAACCTAGATCTGCCCCTGCTTAAATATCAGTTGTAATTTTCTTTCTTGTTATAATCAATATAAATACTAATTATTTCATTACCTTTTAATTGATTCCACGTATTCTTAAAAAGTGTACATTATACAAATGTATAATGTAAACATAAAATACAGAAATCTCTTCTAAAATCTGATAAAAGTGATGTAAGTAATTCATCATCTTAAAACAAAATCATTTTAATTAACTATATGTAGAGCCTGTGATCAAGTTAAATCACAATATAATTATATTAACTAACAAATCAATATTTTTGAATATTTAAAAGGATATATCCGTTAGCCTATATATAAAAAAAATGTTCTCTCCTTTTAAAAGAATTTGATGAAATATGCTTATTTATAATTCTTTTAAAAGGAAAGAACATTTTTTCGTTGTTTTCTTCAAATTGAAAATATGCAGAAAAATCTAATAATAAATTCCCCGAAACAAGTATTATTGTGACATTTTATATTTATTTATTTTGATAATAAATTATCGGTAGAAATACGTAGATTTAATACGTTCATTTTTAAAACAATAGCTTAAATAAACTAAAAATACATAAATAAGTATTCACTGCATTATTACAGATAAAATTGATAACTATTCTGCTATATTACAAATTCAAAATATTAAGCGCAAGTTATAAATTTATAATATTGAAAATAATAGAAAATGTCCATTAAATAAATTCCGAATACATTTTTTTATTTTTTGTTTTGAGTACTCCATTTACTAAACTTTGCTCTGTTATGATTTAAAGAAAAAAAAAAAAAAAGACTAAAAATAAAAATAAGTTATTCATGGAATATTTTGTAGATAAATAAAATTCCAATCAAACGCCAGCTTACATAACGGTATATAATATAACCGATACTGTTTAAAATATCTATTTTAAAAATTAATACAGTAGAGCCTCGATTAACCGACCCAATTGGGGACTGGGGTTGGTCGGATAATTGAAAAGTCGGATAACCGAAAAGTATGAAAAAATCCATTATTAGTGTAGTATATTATTATATCCCATGTAATTAGTATATTAGTATATCGCTATTAACCTACTTCGC